GCAGCAGCCCTGGCCAGCACAGGTTGTCACAGGAGTCCCACACGTGTTCGCGCCTCCGAGCGTCCCTGCACGCCCATAATAACTGCGCTGAGCATGTCCAGCTTTGTTGTTTTAGCCATACTGTAGAGGCGCCTATTTACTTGGGAATCATATGTTTTCTGTCCTGGTCCTCACTGTATTCAGAACAGTTACTTAGCTTCAATAAGCCCCTTGTTAAAGCCTTTTCCCTTCTGTAATCTCATCAAACTAACCAAAAGGAGTTTGTTCTGAAATAGAGTCCCATTTTGTAACCCGGCTTCCTATAGGAGATCTCCCCATGCGCACTCGGCCCCTCCGCCACAAAAGGGCTCTGCTTGTCCTAGCGCGCTAACAAAACACTGCCGTCTGTTTGGGTTAGTCAGCAGGGGGTTAATGAAAAGCCCGGCCCTGGGGACTCCCACCTTATCTGCAATCATGAATTTATTGAAGAATGTGTTAATGTGCTGGATTTTATTCATCAGGGGTCAGGGCTTTTCAAATTCTTCCTCCCAGCTCCCCCTCTTTCCATCCCTCCCCAGCAAGCTCACAATGCTGTTTAAACAAAGGGCTCCCAACACAAAGAGCAAATTTACACAGTAAAGTTTTCTTGCAAGCCCAGAGCAGAGTCTGGAAGAATTCCAGCTTTATAAAGAGAAAAGGGGGTGGGGGGAGAAAGGGGGAAGGGAGAGAGGGGCATTTTGCAGAGGATAAAAGGAAATTGAGAAAAGTTCCCACCTCCTGAAGCCCAGCACTGAATATTCTCTGCCAGTTAACCCCGATGCATTACAAACGCTCGAGGATGTTTCAGCAGGACATGCGCCCTCATAACACCAAACTTTTCAGCCGCCTTCAAGGAGACTGAAATTAATGTTTTAACATCAAATTTAGGGTGACATTTCAACAGCTTCTTTGTGGATTAATAACATTAGCCCCTAGAAGGACACAGCAAACATTAACCAGGTTTCACAGTTTTCCCCTTGTGCCAGTTTTACAGGTGGTGATATAAGCGAGATATAACAGGAAATAATGAGGCTAAGCCGTGGCTTACAGGCCTCGCAGTGACTCCGTGTCTGAGGCCAAGTGGGAACGTGAAGGAGCCTCTGTTCCCACCTCCCCATCCCACCCGTGTGCCACGCACCGCCCCAGGACCGGAGCCCTCGGGGGTCCCGTGGGGAGCGTCCCCGCGTGCCGCCCGCCCGGGCTCGGCAGATGCACAAACCCACCGCTGCCTGCAAGTGCTAGAAAAAGGTGGTGTAATTCCAACACAGCCTGTACGGACGGCAGGCTCCGTTCCCTTTCCATCACTCCAAACGTTATCCCCACTCGACAGCTCGGGATAAAGGGTTGTTTGGTTGGTTGTTTTTCTTTTTTTTAACTAAAAGGTTAGGACCCCCACCGCTGCTCTGTCAGCTTTAGTTGTGCTGGTCAGAGCTCTGGGAATTAGAGAACAGGGAGCAATCCTGCGCTAATTAACCAAAGATGACCTAAATGATTTTCTTCAGGTCTTGTCACCTCCACTTTCTGCACTATCATTAATAAGCTCTGGCAATGTCTCAGAAAGAAGGAGAGCTCAGAACAGACATCACCTCTATTCACACCTCTGCCCAGCAGGCACAGCGGTACGGAGTTCACCCGAGGAAAGAGTTTTCAGACGTTTTACAAGCAAAAGATATGTGATGTTATTGGCCATAAAGCTAAAACTGCTGGGGAGGCTACAAACTCTGGTCACCAATCAGGAGAGTAACCACCTCAGGCATGTAGCTTGGAGACTTTTGGAAATACTCAACTAATATTAAAAGAAACCCATCATAACTCCATTTTCTAACAAGTTTCTCCGTCAAAGGGATGTCACTGACCCAAATTTCCATTCCCGTGTTTATTTACTTTGGTTTGCAGGGAAAGGGATGCCTTCTGCCATACTCTCATAAGACCAGCAGCAGTCCGTAAGCAGCTAGCACAGACAACGGCCTGGGAAAAGGGGCTTTAAATGACTCTGGAGTCCCACAGAGGAGCCCACAAGCAGCACGCATGTCTCTGCATCCTTGCAGCTCTGCCCCGGCTCAGACACAGCCTGAGGGGGTTTGGAGTGGAGGCTCCACAAGCAAACGGCTCCTAAGGCCTAACGGCCAAACCCGTGGTGCCAGGAGCCGTGCCGGGATCCGTGCCGCGCTCGCAGCCGCCCCCGCTGAAGAGGCTGCGGTGCCGGGGCAGAGCCGCCCCGACTGCCCCCGGCTTCTCGCCCCGGCTGCCGGCGCTGCCGGGCAGATCCCGGCACACGGGATCCAGCTGCGCTGCCGATGGATCCCTGACTGCTGAACATGCAATACATATTTATAGGGTCTCCTCCGTGACAGGAATGAGAAAGCCTCGTGCAGAAAATAACTCAAAGGACATAATTAAATCAGTTAAATGGCTTGGGAAAAGAGACACAGCTACAGCCAGATTTCAACTCTCGGCACAGTCTCAGGGCACAGGGAACAACGACTAGGAAAGCAAGAACTATAAAAGCTCTCTGACCAACTACTTGCTTTTCTTTAGTTAATAAACTATAATCCCTGCTTAACACTGACACAGACCAGAAACACGGAGCACAGAGCACCGGGACGGAGGCAAGCGTTCAGGGCAGGCAAGCGCCATGCCAGCGGCACCGGACGTCACAGACATTACCAGACAAGTGAAGCCAGCACAAAGAGTAGGAAATCAAAGCTCAGGCCATTTATTTTTTGTCTGTTAACATGATGCACAGCGAACAGCGAGCTCCTGCCGGCTTTTCGGAGCCAGGAGCTCGGCGAGGAGCACGGCTGGTGCCGGAGGGGCAGCTCCGGCTGCCGCAGCAGCGAGAGGAGCCTTTGCCCGGAGGATCTGGCTGTCGAGAAACCGCCATCGTGCACCCAACCATCAACAGAGCTCGTGGCCAGTGATCCTGGACGAGCGAAGGGGCAGCGCTGCCTTGCCAGGTCGGGGCGGGGGGGGGGGGGGTGCCGCTGGTAGCACCAGCCACGATGGTCCGTCCCCTCTGGCCAAACTCCAGAGCCAGAGGTGAAAAGAAGAGAAAGAGAAACGCTGGAACCGAGAGAGAGCACGCCGAGGCGAGCGGGACGGCCCCGAGAAGCCCACGACAGCGTTTGGGCAAAGCGGCTGGGATTGAAGCGGTACCGGCCGTCTCAAACAGGCCATCAGCCCCGAGAGGCCCCAGGCCGACACGGAGAGGGTCACCCTGTCACGAGCATCCCCGGGGACGGGCTGGAGAGCGGCCGGCAGCCACCGGTGGGAACGCGGACCCGGGCGGGCGGGCAGCGCTCCTCTCCCATGGGTTTCCACTGCGAAGAAACGACGGCACAGCTGCCGGGAACACTGCTCGTACTTCTCCCTCAGGATCATAAAGAAGTCCAAACTTAAAAAAACCCACCAATACTGAAAAAGTCATTTCAAAAATTTCAATGTTTTTTTTGAGCTGAAAGTTGTGGGGGAAACATGCACGCTACTTACACAGCAAGGAGCAAAAAGCTGTGAAAATAGACTTTTCAGAAGGGTTACATACAGAAAAACGTAAGCAAGTTATTTATTTTTAAAGCTAGCGTTACAAAGTACCTAACATATAATTACCAGATTTAGTAACAGAGAACGTGTCAAAATAGCTTTTTATAGCCAAAGTTAACAAATCTCTGTCTGCTGCCTCTATACCAAGCCAACGTAATGAGAAGTGAGCTCACATCTTTGGAGCAGATTACACTTCTCTTCCATACATTGTTTTGTCCCTTCAAGAATATTAAAAGCACAGTTCAAAAATTAAGCAAAGCTTTCTCCCTCGACGGAATTGAAAGGGCTCTCAGAAGAGTTTCATTTTTCCATTTGTGCTTTACAATGTTACAGAAATACACAGAGGGATCGGATGGAATTCAGTGCCCTGGTACGTCACTCATGCTTTGGTGCATTACGAGCGAGTTCCCGCAGCCGGGGCGGGGGCACGCGGCAGGCCAGCAAGCGCCGGGCAGCGCCGCGTCGCCCGGCACCTCGGCACGCGCCGCGCAGCGGGGACGTACGCGAGGCCCAGCACCGCTTCTGTGTTTCCTGCGAGTATGAAAGGTAAGGAAGGTTGTTTCTTCAGTCTGAAAACAACGTGTTTGAACATTGCCTGGGCTATTGCGCATTTTTTTTTTTTTTTTTTTTTTTTTTTTTTGCTTTGGAAATATACCATGCAACGTTTCTCCTGAAGGACTCCTTAGAAAACTCGCAGGCGTGTGGAAGGATTGAGTTTGAAACTTAAGAGAGATGAAGGGATTTTTAAGAATCTTAGTAAGAGCTCTAGCCAGTTTCCTTTTTGTTCATAGAATTCAGATGAAAAATCTCACCTGAAGTTCTGTGGCAGATCCAGCACTCCGGCTCACAAGGAGGCCAGGAGGAGCCTCCTCTTGTACCAGGGGTCCTCGGGACCCGGGAAGGAGCCTCCTCAAAATCCAGACACGCCGCTGCTCCTGGGCGGGTTGCCTTCCCTCACTGAGCCCCCTTTACTGCAGACGAGGCGGCTCAGCAAAACCTCATGGATTTGCTGTCCGCGACACCGGACGAGAAATGACTCTGCCAAAAAGATGTCTCGGATCGCTCCGGTTAGTTCCAACCTCCACGACCTCCGTGTCGGTCACCGTCCGAAGGCGGGGGGGGCGAGGGCTGGCCCCGGCTGCGGGGCTGCAGCACGAGCTGGGGGGGGGACCCGCACCCCGGGGCAGGCGGGGGGGGGGGAAGGGGCAGAGCCGCGCTGTGGTGGGGTCACGCCGTGTCCCCAGCCCTGCCCGGGGCCACCCGGCTCCGCGTCAGCCCCCTTGGCGGGGGAAGCCGGTTGTCACCGAGCATTTCCCAGACAACTGCCAAAATCTGTCCGGTCATCGCGAGGCCCGGGGCTCACCTGCACGTGAAGGGCATCATCTCGCTTCTTCGCAGCTTAGGGGAAAAAGGACTTACTACAAAGATGAACAAACATGGCATGAAATATACAATGGCCACCATTAACATCATATTTATTGTTATTTAGTTGCTCAGTAAAACATATACAGATATGTACAATATGCATGAATACAGAAGACTGCACTTTACATATTTAAAAAAAAGAAAGAAAAATAACACTCAATTTCATGAGCTATTGTCACAGTCTTCCAACCAAGCATTTAAGAAATGAATTTAACAAGAATCAAAAAAAAAAAAAAAAAAAAGAAAAAAAAAAAAAAGAAAAAAAGATTACAGGATTGCCTAACACACAGCAGAGTCAAGTTTTCATATTTTACATGTGCAATAACATTTTTCAGAAGAGTTTGCTATGCAGTACGGATTACCAGTGTTTTGAATTTTTTTTCTTTTCCACGAACCAAATTTAGTACAAAGAAATAACATCCTTTTGCTTAAGGCTGTTTTAAAGCTGTAATATTCTTGGGTAGTGAATAGTGATAAAGTTATAACTGCCGGAAATCACAGCCTGCAGTTTCATCAGTCAGAATCTATGAGCGGATGGACTCAAACCAACAATTTTAATAGAGAATTTCTAAGACAAAATTAGACTATTTCCTCCATTAGCCTTAAGCAATAAAGGAGAAACAATTCTATAAAAATGGGTTATGCTCTTACACACCATCCATTGAACAGCTGTGAATCTAGTAGTTGAGAAAACCTTACACTGCAGCTTAACAAAAATAATCAAAATTTACCAGTTTTGTTTCTGTCTGCGTTCCCCCCATCGCCTCCTCCCACCCTCCCAGCACCGGCCCGTCGCGCTGCCCTGGGCTCACCTCACCCCTTCCCTCCTCACCAAAGGCATCGACGTTTGGTGGCGGCTGGAAGCCCGACACCAGCTCCCGGTTTGGGAGTGACCACGTAGACACACAGGCTCTGAAACAGCTCCCTAAATGACCCAGGTGACGTGGTTCTGATGCTCATTCCCTTCCACCCTAACCACGCAATGAAACCCTTACCTACTGATGAAAGTCACCATAACTAAATAAAAGTGAGCCTAAACCCTCTCTCACAGATGCTCTAACAACCGAGCTAGAATAGCAGAGAACTAGTAACCCTAGGAAAAAATGATCTGGAGAAAATTCGCAAGAGTATTTAATAAATAAGGCCTAGTCTTTCCTTTTTTTGGCAAAGAGATATTTTATCACTCCTCCCAATTTAACTGCAAGAGAGATTTTGTTCAGTTTGCTACTACATTTTAACTCGCAGACTAAGTGCAGCGTTTCTTTTAACAAATACCAAAGGAGTCAGCGAGCTGGGTCGGGGGGTCAGTGACGTCCGGGCTCCCCTCACCCGGCCCCCGGGGCTGCGCGGCAGAACCGACAACGCCAGGCAAAGCCGTGTCGGAGCTGTTGGTCACAATACAAAGCAAAGACAGTGCATAGCTCTGTGGCACATTTGCCGCGGGTCTCGGACTTCTCAGTACAACATCCCCCCAACTTGGAAGCCCCAGCGGACAGGCAGGGGTGAGTTTACGTTATTCTGGCTTTACCCGGTCATTTGGGGAACACGTAGCTCATAAAATTTCACCCTCTGTTGAACCACCTCATCCTTCCAAGGAAGCAAGCCTCGAGTCGTGTGGCTCACGAGCAGAGGTCAGGCCCAGCTCAGCTCTGCCACCAACAAGCCTTTGACCCAGCTCGGGCTGACCCTGCCCGTGCCTCAGTTTCCCTCTCCGCAAATGAGCGCAACTTACCTCCTGCACAACAGGTTTTTACCTACAGCTCTCACATGTGCTTCCAGTGGAACTATTATTACTCAGAAAATAAAGTAATTTCAATTCTTACCACATGGGGCTATGCTGGTATTTATCTATGTTGAAAAAAATAATCAGTGCATTCAGTGTCAAATTAATGGAGAAAATGAGCACAGTAAAATTACTGCAGGCAACAGAAGCTTTGTGAAAAAGCTCTACCCTTCTGCATATGCTCTCAGTACCAAATACACCAGGTTATGAGCATGAAGTGATGCTCGTCCTGGTCAGTCACATGTACCGTTTCTGTTCTGATCCTTGGCAAAAAGCAAAGAAACCACAAAAGCGCAGGTTGGTCCTGGCATTGCTAGCAGCTGCCCGCCGTAAAGCTCCCAATGTCTCCTTTTGCTCAGCTGATAACGTCACCTAAATCAACCAGGATCGAACGGATAGGTTAGCAAAAGGATCACATGTGACCATATTATCCAGCAAAACTAGATGGGCAATAAGGCCCAGAAGCCAGTCAACCACTGTTGTTAACTCCTCGCTACCGTGAAGTCCCGCTGAGGACATATCCCCTGGCTTCAGTGCAGCCAGGCCTCCTCATTGCATGGGATTTAAAACTGTTAGGATTCCACTGGTTTTAAGGAAACCCTTCCACTTTGTATTTCTACGAGCAAGTGAAAAAGTAAGTTCCAAGTGAGTGAGAACAAACCGTGCAAGCCGCATAAGAAAAGGGTGGGTGAGACCAACTGAGGCACCATGTTTCTACTGAAAAGAGGATTTCTCTTTAAAAAGAGATCTGAACTGTTTAATTCAGCGTTCACTGAAAGGTCTCTTCCTGGTAGCAGAGGGTGTGCATCCCTGACCTCAGGAAGCCTGAAAAACCTGTTCTCTTGAATGCAGCAGGAAAAACTAAAAACAAAGAAGTAAGCCATCAGGGCTGCACTCCAGTACAGGAATGCCACCAGACCATGAACTCTTCCTAAATTTTCAGCTGAGACATGGTATCATATGTCTAGGCGTGTGTTTCGCTGGGGTTACTCCAAGACCCACCCAGGTGGAAGGGGGACAGGGTGGGAGCTGTGGACCCTGCTCCCCGCCGGCAGGCGCAGAGCCCCCCTTGGCTCAGCAGCCCCCGGCTGCTTTGTTAGGCGGGATTTAAAGTTAAACACATATTTGGGTGAACCAGGATTTAAAGAAATCACAGGCAAATGGGCATCTTCCAGAGTGGGGGCTGACAATTATTATTCTACCAGGAGATGTTTTACTGGGGATGGTGATGTGTTATTGCAGGTACAGCGCAGAGCTCCGAGCTTTCAGTAGCACACACACACCTACAAAAGGTACAAAACATCCCATCCTCTTGTTCCAAACCAAGCGGGCGTGAGGCAGCTCCACAGCCAATTGCTACAGGATGGGCAAAAATCCTCATCCTCGTGGGCAGCTCCAGCAGATTAAAATAATATTGAAAATCAAGGTTCAAAGCTATCCAAATTCATCCAAAGTCAAGTCACTGACCAGACCCATAAGAGGAAATCAATCCATGCATGGTTAATAAGAGCACATTCAACTAACATTTCCAAACACTGTGAGTCTCTCTGAAGCCACATATGACTGAGAGTGAGGATTTCAGACCACACCATGCCACTGGCATTTTAGGCAGAATTTCCTCTCCATTGGTGCCTACTGAGAACATTACTTCAAAATAATTAAAGGCCCAGCACAATCATCAAAGATAAAATACAAAGCAGTCTTCAAACTCCATCCCTTGAGGAGGGACACATTTTGTGAAGTCATGACAGAATTAAAAAGTAACCTTAGAGAGGCCGACCTTTATTTCACAGCTAAAACCTAAATCCCCAGTGATGTTATTAAACTTCAGGGAGCAGAGGAAAGTGAGCTGGCCTGAGCAGGGTGGGACAGCTCCCACTCCTGTGCACAGAGAATATACAAATAATGGACAGCGTTACGTAAAACCACAGGAGTGTCGGATCATCGTGTCAGTCATGTTTTTATCTGGTTTGCTTCCAACTTTCTTCTCGAATGAGTATTATCTATCGCGAGCAGGAAAGTATGGTTTTCCTTTTATTGTGTGCATCCAGTGTCACTGTTCTTCAATGCGTGGTGAAAATGGGGCCTCAAGTGAGTTTGGGGCTGGGGGGGTGTCTAATGCGGCGTCTCCCTGCCCTGGCAGATTAGGAAACACCGACCCTGGGTGTACAGCCCTCCCTGCACCCCCTGCTTGGGCCGTCCCCTGATCGCTGCCACCGCACCAGGACGGCCGTGGCAGGAGCCAGGGCACCCCACAGACAAGCGCACGGGACGCTGAACCCCATTTCCCATCGACAGCGTCTTCCTTCAGCTAAAAAAGGGGCGAAAAACGGGCAGGGTGCAGCAGCGGCGCCTGGCAGGCCCGTGGGGACAGCGGCCACCAGTGGCCCCAGCACCGACCCCCATGCCGGGACCTCGCGCCGCGGGGCTGAGCGCAGGATGGGTGCAGCAGCTCGGGGGGGGCTTCGTTTCTCCAGCGGTGATAAAGTGGGAACCGTGGGAGCATCGCCGGGAGCAGGAGGCTGCGGCCACGCTGGGGAGCGTCCCCGGTTCCTCCCCGAAAGCAGAGAGGGAGCCTGGGCATTTGGTGGAGGAGATAATGACTCTTAAAAATTAAGTAAACTTCCTGTTAGACTTATTTAGAAAAACTTCTCTATACCTTCCCCGGCCGTGTCTGAACCAGCCCGTTCGTGACAGAGCTCCATCTCTGAGCTTCACCAGGGTAAATACAGGAACGAGCGTCCTCGCCTCGCAGGGGGAGGTGGAGAGCAAACGAGGCTGAACGTTATTAACAACAGAACATCATTTTCTCAGAAAGGGCAGGCTCATTGCCTGAATATTCAACAGAGCATTAACTGTTTGGTTTGTATGTGACTGGCAAAAGCTGGGTGTCAATATAATATAATATAATAATGACCATTTCACTTTAACCGGCGTTTATTCCTGAACTGCTGTTCTTCAGGATCACCATTGTAATAAGCACTGAACAAAGCAAAACAAAAAAAGAAAAAACAAAGCAAATGAGGAAGAAAAGGAGGAGGAGGAGAATCTTTGTCTTATTATGACATACGTGACTTGGACATACGCTGAGATGAAAAAGGAAAAGGCCTCATCTATAAATGTATGCCAAGGTTACAGAATAATGGGAAAAAGTGGTCTAGCAGGAAAATCTTAAGCAAAAGTGTGCTAACTGCAGAAGGGTTAACACTGGTAACATACTGTGGCAGAAGATTAAAAAAAAGTTGAGGTTTACTTTAAATTAACCCTTTCCAGTCCATATGCCACTAAGCAGGTACCAACCTAGAAAAATAGTCCACCTAGCAGTAGCGGCCCTTTGAAATTAAAAAGAGGAAAAAAATAATTTCTTTTGTTCAAGTCAGGGCGGCCACAAAAGTCCCAAATCTGTTGGAGATGTCCGAGTGCAGGGACCTCCACGTCGGCACCGCAGTCCGGCCCTTCGCCTCGCCCACGTCGTCCGTGCAGTGGACCGAGAGGCACTGCAGGTGGCTGCCGGTCTGCGCCGCGGCCGAGGTCTTGCTCGGGGGAAGGTCGTGGGCTGGAAAGGGGCCACAGAGAGAGCGTTAGCAGAACCACGCAACATCATCACACCGCCCCCCCCCCCACCGCCTCACCTGGCCCCGCGCCCCTGCCCCGCCGCAGCTCCCCCTTCCCACCCCGCAGAGAGCTCCCCCGGCTCATTTTTCACCGTGCCAGGAAAACACCACGCGCTGGGGATGTGTACACTACTCATGATGTGTGTCCTGGATTGCAGCACAACTGGGAGCTTTCACTCCCCGGGCACCCTCCGCTATCTGAAAGCAATGCTGAAACTTCCCCAAGCAGGAAACCAGCCCCGAACCCTCCGTGTCCTCCAGGTCATTCCCATTGTCCAACTCCTACAGGCACAGGCCTCCCTGTCCACCTCTTTTAATGGAGCACCACAATAACATTTTTCTTACAATTTCTTCATTTTAGGACTTTGTATGATCGTTAGCCATCATTAAGTTTTGTTAATCACAGAAATTAGAGAGTTTAACTGAAGCATCCTAAGCAATGTCCGGGACTTTTCGCTCTGGATTTTACAGTTAATACTAAGAGTAGTTAAAATTGTTCCTTCCAAAGTGGACTACCATACTCACGACTCGTTCCCACTGCCAATTCATTATTTTTCCCTGCTTCCATTCTAAATACATTCAAGTAATCTTCTCTGTTGCAAACATATTTTTCTCATCTTCAAAATGTGCCTTGGTGCACGTGCCCTCTCCCTGCTCAGTGCAGCCAGGCACATCTTTCTTTCATCACCTTCCTCCTCTCTGAAATCAATCACTTCTTCAGTTCTTCACCGCTCCTGTCAAATCACCAAAGAAAAGCCCAAAGACAACCCCCCCCCCGCACCTCATTCCTCCCCCCTGTAGACCCTCACGTCCACCGGCCCCTCCTTGGGGTCCTTCCTTCCCAGAGACCCTGTGAGACGGCAAAGCGGCGGCCGGCGGCCGCCCCGGCTGGGGCTGGGCTGGGGCTTGCTCCCCTCGCCCGGGACACACAAAACCCTCTTGGAGCTGACGTGGCCCCAGGAACACCCAGAAACGTCGCTGCTTCTGCCAGGGAGGATGCCCGAGCCGATGCAGACAGCTCCCCCCAGCCCTGGAAGGAGGGCTTTTTGTGGGATAAAAACAGTGAGTAAGTAGAAGAATGGTGCAAGGCAAGACAAAAAAGCCAACAACATCTTGACAAGCAGCCTGCAGTTCCTCTCATCCACCATTTCGTTCATGTTCACCCAGAGCACGAGAGGTAAGAGCAGACCTGCTGCAGCACTAGCAAACACAGGGACTGTAATTTCTCTGATAGACCCTGAGACTTCCCATCGCGCAGGGCTGGGGGTGATGCTGGAGCGTGCCAAATATGCCAGAAAATGGCTGTGAATGTTTAACCTCCTTAACACCTTTCTTCACATCATCTTTCCCATGTTCCACAAAGCCGAGCAGTGTGGGTTTACCACGCTGCATGGAGCAAGTTATATTTGTTTCACTTAACCAGCTTCTAAACCAGATACAAAATATGAACTGAAAAGCTTGTTACGTGATCACAGTGATATTAAAAAATAGTCTTAAACTAGTCTGGAAGTCCCTGGTTTAAACTGGAAAATGCTTTTCATGCTGGATTATAGGATGCTCATATTCAAAACAGTATCATAACACCATACAGAGAAACTAATTAGAACCTGTGGACACGATGCTATAAACGATGGGAGAAGCAACACGGCTCCAGAGCAGCGCTGCTGCCTGCTCAGCCACGCGCTGAATTAGTGCAACCATGTGCAAAATCAGCACAAAGCTCCCTTACACACCTCAGCCTAGCACAGCCATGCTCGGGGTTTGCATTTCTGTAGGACACCCGCGCCCACTGCTCGAATAAAGAATCCAACATCAGCAGGTCAAAGATGCCCATGTTCTCTAAACTCCAAAATAGATTACAGTCCCCTGTAGTTGGTGTTGGTTTTTTTGTTGGTTTTTTTTTTTTTTTTTTTTTTTTCCAGTTTTGCTAAAAAAGCAGTACTGAGGGTCCGGGCTGGAGCACAGAGCAGAGTTCACCATGTAACACCCAAATGCAGAGTTTCAGCAGGCAGAGGCGGCATTGGGACAGCCGGGCTTTGCTCCAACGCTGGGAGCCTTTAACTCTTCTTTGCCGATACCCCTGAGCCCCGTCACGCCGCAGGCAGCTTTACCTTCCCCGGGGCAGCGTTCCCACCTCGGCCACGGCACGGCGGGACGTGGCCGTGCTGCGGAGCGGGTCACTGGCAGCCCTGGCAGAGCAGGGAACGGCCCCGGCTGCCCCACCGACACGGGGCTCCCAGCCGCGGCACTGCCGACCAGCAAGCCCCAGGCTGACACCACGGTGCCACCTCAGGAAAATCACCGGGAAAAAAAGACTCCCTGAATAAACACTATTTGATGAAGCGTTCAATTTAAACTTACTATCCTGAACGTAAACATACCAGAATAACATTTTGTTTATGTTTAAAACTGAAATGGGACTGCGCAGAGAATTGAGAAAGGGAAACATTTTTCATATTTGTATTTGTTCACGTCCCTTGCAACGCACACAGTACCCAATATTTTTTATTCTTATGTCTCCCTGAACGTACAGGACATGCTGGTCTCGCTACAGGAAAAGCCAGCGCCTTGAGATTAGTATTTGTGACAGCAGCTTTCTTCCTCTGCTGCAGAGAAAGAGGAAAAAGTCCCACTGCTGATGGGCTGTCAGGAGGGGCCCAGGGACCTGGGTGGCGTTTCTGCACGCGGCATTCACTGCAGGGCTCCGGGGGACCGGCTGCTCGGCTGAGGACACCGGCAGAAGCGGCAGCGACAGCGTGTCCCCAGAGCAGGACGAGCGCCCGGCTGGGTCAGAGCTGGGGCTGGGCTGTGCCGGCACCGACATCTGCACCGCCCGCGCAGACACCACAACGGATCAGGTCCTCAGCCAGCCATTAAATGAGGAAGTTCGTATGCCACAAGCATTTAAAGAATCAAAAATTAGGCAAGTTTACTTGTAAATCAGCCAATTCTTTCTGAAACATTTGCTGTGGATAAAATTCATAAGCAAACTACTGATAAAAAGAATCAATGCAAAATCCATCCTGCAGTGAATAGCAGGACTCGTTGGCCTCAGAGGAAAATCCAAGTACAGGAGATGAGCAGCGTCTGGTCCTGAGTTTGCAAAGCTGATACTGATTGCCACTGTCCACATGATGCCTAACTCAACACCACCGCGTGGGAGCTCAAGCTCCCTTAGTCTATTGTTAGAGAACACAGAAAATGAGCCATTCAAATCCAAAACAAAAAGAGGATGAGAGCTTGCAGTAAGGCTTGCATTGGCACAAGTGTTCTCAAAGCCAATCTGGAAGGAAATATTCAGTGTGATTTACCTTTTTCCAATATTTCTGTCTTGACAAACCTACGATGCTTTTTTGAAAAAACCCTCTGTATTAAAAAATTAAAGTTGTGCTGATCCACCTGATGAGAATTATGCTCTTAAACATGAGATATTGCCTGATGCTTGTCCAAAACAGTAATACCCTCCCAGCAGACCTGTTTCACCGGCCTTCCTCACTGTCCCTTTGCCTCCTCCAAACCAGCAATGCCCCAGCACCCGCCTTCTGCAGCACACAGTCCTGAGGGGTATCGTTAGTAAAGACTGATGGGACTCAGCAGGTTAAAATTAGTCAGGTAATGCAGGATGGTATCATCACGTCATTGCCTTGCAGTTGCCAAGTTTCAGATAAATCACTGTCAGTCATGAAGCACACCTAATTGAAAGCAAAGAATTTTCAAACAAATTATGTTTAAACTGCACAACTGCCTCTACTAGCAACTACCGCAATAAACTTGTAAGTGTTGTTAATAAAAGCAACACCCTTCTAATAAGAGCCATCCTCCATACCCAAGATCTTGAGATGGTCTGGGTGGAGATTTCCTCTCCAAACCGAAGGACGTGACACAACAGAACCCGGGACAGATGCGAGTAAAACCACCCTATTCACAGGATAGCCTGTGCCGCCTGAAAATGGCAAATGCTGAGGCAGAGATAAGAGATAAAATATCCTAGGCAAGCACACAAGGTGTTCACATGGAAGGCAGGAAACTCAAAGCAGTAAAGTGACCGAAGACCAAAAGGAGTCTGGAACAGCCCGGCCGTGACGGCGTCCTCACCCCCCGCAGCTGTGATCCGCGCACGGCCTGGCCGCCGCAGCCCCCGCTCCCATAGGCGCTGGGGGGGGATGAGCCAGGGCAGAGGGTCCCCACCAGAGCAAATCACACCCCACTGCCCGGGGTCCCCCCGCTCGGGGCTCCCCTGCCCGGCGCAGCACCCCCTCGCCCCCCATGCGGAGCGGTGGAGGTCCCAACAGCCAGCTACGACACAGACCGAGCTTAACCTTCTGGCACTGGGAACTATTCCTTCCTTTTTCTTTGAATTTAACGGCCCACCCCACCACTATCCTGTCCAGAGCAGCAACCCGTAGTCCATATTTCAGAGGAAGATAAAGAAAAGGAAAATCCAGCCCTGTGTATCCCAGCCCACTGTGCAAAATTGCTCACAGCAGAGAAAATTCCTGCAATAATCGCTGAATACCCTGGAAGTTAACATGGGGTTTGATTAATATTATTAGCTCAGCTTGTGCACAGGCACTTCCAAGAGCCAGCCACAACATCTGGAAGAGCTGGGTGGCTATGGCAAAGAAATATTTGCAAACATTCATCAGAACATGAAAGTGAATTAAATCCGGCCATTTTCACAGCCCTTTCGTGCTCGTGTTCAGGCAATATTCCAGAAGGTTTGTTTATTGCAGTTGAAACTGTATGTTTTAGGTAAATATTACAAAGTATCCTCTGAACAGTTTGCTAACATTCATCAGTTACAACAACATACAAAACACTTAAGAATTGTATCAAGCACTTGGGACAAAACCACCAGGCTGCTCTCCTTTACAGAGGCAGATACATACACAGCTTCACATTCCCAAATGACTAAAAAAGCCTTTTTTTTTTTTTAAAAAAA